TAGCTCATATAATCAATTTATCTATCTCTCATGGCATTGTTCCCGACCATATGAAAATTGCTCGCGTGATACCACTCTTTAAAGGCGGTGATCGATCACTCTTTACGAACTATAGACCGATCTCGATTCTCCCTAGCTTTTCTAAGTTTCTTGAAAAGGTTGTTTATAACCGTCTTTATAATTATTTAAGTAAACTAGAAATTCTATGTGATAATCAATTTGGCTTCAGGAAAAATCATTCAACTTCTTTAGCATTGATTGACCTATATGAAAAAATCTCCCTTGCTCTTGATCGCAATGAACATGCCGTTGGCGTTTTCCTTGATCTTTCTAAGGCCTTTGATACCGTCGATCATAATATTCTGCTTGACAAACTCGAACACTATGGTATACGTGGCGTGGCTCTGGACTGGGTTAGAAGCTACCTCTCCAACAGGTTGCAATTCGTTCAATTTAACGGTCAATGCTCCTCTCCTCAAACTATCTGCTGTGGTGTCCCCCAGGGATCTATTTTGGGCCCCTTGTTTTTCTTGCTCTATATTAATGATTTAAATAATGTATCGTCGCTCGTCGAGCTGATTTTATTCGCTGATGATACTAATTTATTTATGTCCCATAAAGATCCTGTCTACCTGGCAGCCTCACTCAATTCCGAACTTAATAAATTATCCACTTGGTTTAAGGCAAACAAACTCTCCTTAAACCTAAAGAAAACAAACTTTATGTTATTTAAGCCTAGACAGAAAAGGTATCATTTTCCAATGCAAGTATGCATAAACGAACAGAGAATCGAACAGGTTAAGGAAACGGTCTTCCTCGGTGTAGTCCTTGATGAACATCTGTCTTGGAAACCGCACATTTCTCAAGTAGCTCGTAAAATCTCGAAATCAATAGGTGTCATTAATAGAGCAAGATTTTTTCTACCTAAACCGTGTCTAAAAACTCTTTATTATTGTTTAGTTTATCCTTATCTTCATTATTGTATTATTGTCTGGGGATCTACGTACAAAACCAATCTTCGCCGTCTTGTCTCTTTGCAAAAGCGAGTTATCAGAATTATTTCTAAATCAACTTTCGATTCTCATTCAGACCCTATTTTCAAAGAATTAGAGCTACTAAAACTTTCCGATATTAGACAGCTAGAATTAGGTAAACTTATGTTTTCTCTTAACCATTCTCTTTTGCCTTCAAAGTTCAACAATTATTTTTCTTTAAACAAACAAGTCCATAGCTATGCCACTAGACACGCGAACGATTTTCACCTTCCTTCTTGTAGAACAAACCTTCGTAAATTTTCTGTCAGTTTCCAAGGACCTACTTATTATAACACTATAGAAAATGATATTAAAGAATCTAATTCTCTCCACTTATTCAAAACGAAATTGAAAAAAAAATTATATATGAATTATTAGTTATAAATCTTGTAGTAAATAGTTATATTTCTTCCATGTCTGATATTATTTTTATACTTATTGTTACTTGTACCATACCTAATATTTTGTCAACTCAGTCTATGTAATTAGTTAATTTATACTTACCTTCATTGTATTTTGCTTTCGATCCTGGCCTTACCGTTACTGTTAACTTTATTTTTACTCTGAGGGAGCCCAATGTCTATAAGCCTCATGGTTTCTTTTTGGGCTTCCTCGCCACTTTCATTTGCTTTTGTGTAACTGTCTTGTTTTATCGTTATTTGTATTTTGTGGTAAATCAAATAAAGTTACAAAGTTACAAAGTTTAGTGGGATCCCCTCAGGTTTTAATGTTACAACATCTCCCCCCTAACACGATTCAATGAGTCTTTGCGGCCTCCTAACTTGACGCCCAGATCTGGTTGTAATGGGAGTCTGTGGAATTGTTTCTGTCTGTCTCTCTAGTCTCACTGGACTTGGCACTGGCTTCTCAAATACAAGTGACTGTCTTGTACTCGCAGGAGAGTCACGAGATTGGGTACTTATAGGAGAAGCCCTTGTCCTTGGGGTCATGGGAGAATCATTTGGAACAGAGAGGATCTGTCTTCGATTTCTCCTGTAAGCACGTCCATATCCATCTTCCAGCATGTATGATCTTGGCATTACTTCAGCTTTTCGCTATTCTCTCTCACCATTTGGACGAAACCGCACCTTGTCTCCAACTTCCAGTGCAGGCAAATCTCTACTCTGCTTGTCATAATTAGACTTGGCATTATGCTGTCGCTGATGAAGCTTTTTCAGAACATGACCACGATCCACTGCCTGAGGTAACAAGAGACGTCGATGAGTTGGTATCATTGTTCGAGTGCGTCGACTCATCAGCAGCTGGGCAGGTGACACACCGATATCTTCAAATGGGATGTTGCGATACTTTAACAGTCCCTCAAATGGGTCTTTGTTCTCTGCGGTAGCCTTCTTAAGAATGCGTTTTGCGGTCTGTACAGGTCTTTCTACTGCGCTAGTTGATTGAGGATACTCTGGTGAGCTGGTTGTATGGGAAAATCCCCACTCCTCAGCGAATTTCTTGAACTCATGGTTGTTGCTGAACAAATTTCTGGTGTTGTTGTACTGCGGTCCGTTGTCGCTGACAACTTTCTCTGGGATTCCAAACCTTGCAAATATTTTCTTCAAGTTGTTGATGACACAAATGGCAGTGTTCTGGCGAAGGAGTTCTATTTCAAAGTACTTCGAATAGAAGTCAGTGACTAACAGGTACGTTTGGCCACCATATTCAAACAGATCAGTCCCAACAACTTGCCAAGGTAATCCTGGAATGTAATGAGGATGTAATGTCTCACTCTATTGTCGGTTGCGGAACGCATTACACACGGCACATGAACTGACTTTGTCTTTGATTTGGGCAGTCACGGAAGGTCAGAAAACATAATCCCTCGCAAAGGAAAGGCTTTTGCTCTCTCCCATGTGAGCTCCATGGATTTCATCTAACACTTCAGCTCTCAATGGTCTTGGCACTACAATTTTGTCTGATTTAAATAACAAGCCATCCTCTACACTCACGTCTTCTCTGAAATTCGAATATTCCCGGGCAAGTGCATCAACTTGTTCTTTCTCAGACAGCCATCCTTTCAAAACGTACTCCATCACCACTCCTAATGTCTCATCAGCACTTGAGCTGTCCTTGAACCTCTTCAGGGTGCTGCTCCAAGTTCCTCAACAAGATTAACTCCGATGACATCTTCGGGTTCACTGAACGGTTCAAGTTTCACGGAGAGGTGCTCTGCTAAGGCAGTCTCAAATGACCTGCTGTTTTCTGCAAACATAACGCACCACAAGGTCATACTTAGTGAGTTCAGCAACATCCTCTGTAGCCTGGGAGGGGCCTCATTCAGTGGTTTCCGAAAGATTGACTCCAGCGGTTTGTGGTCTGTCTCAACAATAATTCTGCGCGTACACATATGTGTGAAACTTGTGCTCCCAATACAATCGCTAACAGCTCTCTTTCTATATTTGCATACATCTTCTCTGGGGGAGTCAATGTCTTTGAACTGAAGGCAACTGGTTTGCCTTCCTGCATGATAACTGCACCAAGGCCTGTGCTACTGGCATCAACACTTAGCACCGTTTCTTTGCTGTTATCAAAGTATGCTAACACCGGCGCACTAGTGATGACAGACTTGAACTTATCAAAAGCCTCTTGTTGTGGTTTCTCCCAAACAAATGCGACATCTTTTTGGGTAAGCTGTGAAATTGGCTCTTGTAGATTGGCTTTGTGTTCAATGAACTTGTCTAGGTAATTGACAGTTCCTAGTATTCGAAGCACACCCTCTTTGTCAGAAGGAGGAGGCATCTCACTGATCGCGCGGATTTTATCAGGGTCAGGTTTCAATCTTTCGGACGAGAACACATGTCCAGCATAGCTTACTTCAGGAAAACGAAGTTTCACTATCTTTAGATTGAACTTCAATCCTACTTCTCTGCTTCTATCCAGTACTCTTCTCAACTTTTGATCAGCGTCGGTTTGATCTTTACCATGAATCAGGAAATCATCCACTATAATCTCCACAGGAACCCCTTCAAAGAGTTTGTCCATCTCCCTTTGGTAGATTTCAGGGGCAGAAGAGATTCCAAAAGGGAGCCTTGTAAATCGTTATCGACCCCACGGGGTATTGACTGTTAAGGGCTTTGAGCTTTCGTCATTCACTGGGAGCTGCCAGTATCCACTGCAAGCATCAAGGGACATGAAACTCTTTGCACCCGATAATCGGTTGGCATCTTCCTCTACGGTAACCATTGGATAGTGGGGTCTCTTAAGAGCTTTGTTTAGGTCCCTTGGGTCAATACAAATTCGAACATCATTCTTCGAGAGTGGAGTGTTCTTTTCTTTCACTTTTCGTTGGTCAATCACTAGCATAGATGAAACCCAAGGAGTGTGCTCCTCTTCTTTAACAATAATCCCATCTTCTTCCATCTCTGTGAGCTTCCCTCGTGCTGGTTCAAGAAGTGCAATTGGAATTTTTCTGGGAGGATGGACTACTGGAGGAACTGACGGATCAACTTCCAAATGTACTTTGTCAGGTAGCTTGCAGGTTTATCACTAAAACAATCTTTATAATCCTGCAACACAGGATCGGTTAGGAACAAACTTGGCATTTTTTGCTCTGGTTGTTTTGACTCTGGGGTAGTTATCAGTTCAAGGTTCATAAACTCAAGGACTTCTAAGTCTAAACAAGCATCACAACCCAGCAATGGTGTAAAATTCCATCAACAACAAGATACAACAGGTTAAGTTCAAGACTCCCATATCGAGTTGGAAGCCTCACAGAACCCTTTGGATGGATGGGTTTAGGCGCAAGCCACCCCTTCAAAGGTTGCTGAAGTTTCTGAAGAGGTTTGTTTGTGATTTCCTTGTACAGCTCATAGGGAATGACAGCAGCTTCTGCACCAGTATCTGCTTTGATCTGTACATCTTAGCCAGCAATTTTGACAGTAATCAAGCTCCTAGATTTCTTTCGAGTGCCGGAGAAACTATCCAGCTCAACTGATCCAAAATATGTGTGCACATCGTGATTCATTGGAGGCTCATGTTCCACAGCTGCAAGTTGTGAACGTAACCTTCAGCACTTAATTCTTTGCACACTTGTGCAAAGTGACCTTCCTTCTTACACTTGTTGCATTTCTTTTCAAGAGCTGGGCAGCGAGGTGGCTGAGTAAATGGGTGCCTGTAACCACAAAATTTACAGTTACGAGCGGATGTCTTTTCTTGAACCTTTACCTTCCTGAGAGGGTGAAGTGAACGTCCGCAACCCGCAACTGTTGGTGTATTAAACTTGTATTTCTGTAGTTCGGCTGCCTCTAATGTACGGCAATAATCATGAGCAGTTTGCAGCGTTAAATCTGGTTTCTTCAGCAGTTCACCTCGCAATTCGTCTGACAAAACTCCTCCAACAACACGATCACGAATGAGTGAATCTCGAAGGTCGCCAAATTCACAAGCTTACGACAGTCTTTTCAGTTCACTGAAGAAATTGTCAATCCTCTCACCTTCCTTCTGATTTCGGTGATTAAACACCAGTCGCTCATACGTTACATTTCTAGCACCTTGGCACAATTCGTCGAATTGGCGACAGACATCTTGATAGCGATCTTTGTCTTCTTTATCGGTAAACACAAAGTGACTGTACCCTTCGATAGCTTCTGGTCCAGCACAATGTAACAACATATTTACCTTTAGTTTGTCCGCTTTATCATCTTTACCTTTCGCAACAAGGTAGATCTCAAATTGCATGAAAAATTTCCTCCAATTCTCCGCAGCATTCGCGTCTAGGAGGAATTGACCGGGCATTCGAGAATCTCGCTCGGCCAGTATACAAGATACAAAAATACAACTCAACAGGAAACTTGTTTGTCCCATCAACTCGTCCAATAATTTGTCACAGTTCGGCAGGGCAGATAACCACTGTTATCCCACTTCTGACACCATGTTATAAGATCATTCAATGAGGCTAAATTCAACAACTAGTGAAGACTACTCTAACATGTTCGTGTGCCTAGCAAGTCAAAAACGCAACGCACGCGGTTCCCCGTTTTCGGGGTGCGCATGTAAGTCAGTCAGGGGCCCCTAGGGGGATCCCCTCAGGTTTCAATGTTACAACACCCATGATCAGGATCAGTAATGAGAATAAAACTTAAAAGCAAATGCAAGCGGGCAGCCAAAAGACAGGGTATTGCTAAATTGCCCGATATTTTGGTTTGATAATACTATCCTTCGTCTGGGGCTGCAAAAAGCAATAATAAATTGTTATAAATAAGCGGTTGAAAAAAGAAAAAATACGAACAGTCGATATTTCGCAAGAATAACGTACGAATAAAAGTACGAATAACAAGAATCTGAGTGTCGAGAATTTATTTGCTGGACTAAAAACGTACAGTATGTTGCCCAGTATCCGGACACTTCAGTCTAAGATTGCAATAACTTCCCTTTGTTAATCGCAAGAGCTCTGAAATTTGGCCCAGAGAAAATCTATTTCGTCCTTAATATGACGAAAGACAGTTTAACACTTCCTCGTCTAGGAACGTTTTCACTGATTAAAGGAAGGCATCCGTGGACATGCCGAAGCCGCAGTTTGCAAGCTCAATTAGCCAATCTGCAAACGAATTTTTTTCTTCATTTTTTATTTAAAAAAAGCTTGGGAAGGGATATTTAGTCTGACCTGCGGTGTTGATTTCTTCATGCTCAGTCCCCACAATAAGCCTGCTTTTCTAGCACTAATTCCTCCTTCTTTCACATCTCTAAATCCCTTTGTGACATTTTTTCAGACCGTTGCAACCCCATTCTAGTAGTCACAACTGGGGAAAGTATGAGAATTCCAGATTCAACTCAGACGTTTTCGGATATATACAGAAAATGCAGTCACGCGAAACAAGCGGTGCACACGAAATCAAGTCGCCTCTGAATGAGTGAAGAAAATTGCCATACGGAGTTGAACAGAGTATAATTACATTTTACGACTATATCATATATCCTAAGCTTTAATTATAGTTACTGATTTGAAATAAATCTTATCTGGATAACGTACACAGCTAATTCATCGATTCTGTACAGTAAATAACACTACGAGCCTCAGCGCTCCGGAAGTTAAAAAATTCGTACCGTCTGGTTGCTATGAAGTGACGTAATCATCCTGTTGAGTATCCATCACCGTAACACTTTTGCGGTCAACTACCGCAGCGCTCGTAAAGTACTTTAATTAAAACCGTGTTCAAAACCCTGTAGGAAGTCTGTTTATTTTTGAGTCGATTAAT